ATAAGAAAAACTGTAGAAATTTTAAAAAATACAACAAAACTGTAATATACGATTCAGACATCCCAGTCCTCAGTAGCCTGATGCATGAAAAGTACTTAGTTTCACAAATGTTAGGGATGTGAGGGTAGGACAAGAAAGAAAAAATATCTCAAAGGAAAATTCTGTTTGAGTTCCCTGCTTCCCTTCTCATCTGATAGGTGGTGTTGTCTGCATTTTGCTGTTATCTCCACCCTCAGGATGGTGTATATTACTAGGGTGTGAGGGTTAGTCTTGAAAATGGAAATCCTAGAGGCAAGGTATAGCAATGTGATGTGGGAGCCTGGTCTTGCCTGAGGACTCTACAATTCCTGGTCTCTAATTTAGTCTTTAAATTGTCTCTCTCTTGCCCCTGACCTTTTGACTACCCAATCAGGAACCTCTCTCTCCAGAGGTCCTGAGGGCTGTGTCCCTGTTGTGGAAAGCTGTTCTGTATCTGGAAGATCAGGACCAGGTATTGAGAGCTGCAGGCCAGCCACATAGCTGCAAGTGCTGAGATGGGTTGGTTGCTAGGGGGTGATGTTGGAAGAGTGGGGATTGGGGAGTCAAAAGTCCCTGTTGATTGCCAAACTGGCAGGACTAGTGATCATTGGATGATGGTATATATGGAGGGAGTTGGGGACCGGACTGGTGTGGTGCTGCCTGAGTTGGCCCAGGGAATCTGGTTGGCACTGAGCCTTCATACCTTCTTCTAACCTACTGATTCCATGCAAAGCTCTCTCCTGCCTCTGCAGGAAGATGGTAGCTATCAGGACACCTAGCAGGGAAACTTCAAGTGTAACCAAGCCTATAGGGACCTTGATGATGGTCTGTGAGGCCCTGGTTGTTGTTCCTGGATGGAAGAAACCATGGTCCTAGTTGGTGGTGATAGTGGAGGTGGCTAACCTGCAGGTACCTTGATGTTGAGCTTCCAGGCTCCTGCTAGTGTCCAAAGATGGAAGCTGCCCCAACTAAAGATGGCAATGGTGGCAGCCGAGGCAACCCAAGATGGTGGTGGTGTACCAAGATGGAGGCGACTGCTTTCAGAGATGGGGCAGCGATGGTGGGCTTGTGCCACGGCATTGGACAGCCTGTTTGGAGATGTAGCATTGCGGCTGGTGGTGCTGTGGCAGGCTGCTGCCTTCAGGCCCTTCCAGTGTCCCAAGATGGAGGCTACCAGGTTGAGGGGCCTAATGCAACAGTTACAGTGTCCCAGGTTGGAGGTGGCCAGAGGAGCCATGCTTTGGTAGATGGGGAGCTGAGAGCATCAAGGATCCACACAGGTGCAGCATCCGGTACAGCCAGAACAGAGGTCTATAAGTTTTTAATATATAGCCTTTATTGTGTTGAGATATTTTCCTACCATGCCTAATTTTTTTTTGTTTTGTTTTTTTGTACCAGGTATTGAACCAAGGAGCATTTAACCACCAAGCCACATTCCCAGCCCTTTTTTAATTTTTTTATTTTGAAACAGGGTCTCACTAAGTTGCTTAGGGCTTCACTAAGTTGCTGAGGCTGGCCTTGAACTTATGATCCTCCTGCCTCGGCCTCCCAATGACTGGATTACAGGCATACACCACCACACTTGGCCCATGCTTAATTTTTTGAGAGGTTTATGAAGTTTATTGAATCTTATTGAATGCTTTTTGTGAATCTATTGAGATCATCATGACTTTTGTCCTTCATTAGTGAATGTGATGTGTTAAGTTTATTGATTTGCATATATCCAACCATCTTTGTATCTCTCAAATAAATTCCACTAAATTGTGGTGTAGAATTTTTTGTGTGATTTTGGATTTGTATTACTAGTATTTTATTGAGAATTTCTACATCTGGCTTTATCAGGGATATTGGTCTATACTTTTCTTTTTCTCTTTTTTTTTCTCTTATTTATGTTGTGAATTTTTCCTCATCTGGTATCAGGTTAATTTCCTCCCTTTCAATACTTTAGAATGGTTTGAGAAGAAGTGATGTTAGTACCTTTAAAAATGCCATAAAATTAAGCAGTGAAGCCATTTGATCCTTGTTTTTTTCTTTATGGGAAGACGTTAATTACAGATTTCACTGTTTTATTTGTTAATGCCTGTTCAGATTTCCATGTCTTCATGGTTCAATTTTGGTAAGTTATATGTGTCTGGAAATTTATTCACTTCTTTAAAGTTTTCCAGTTTGTTAGTGGATGGTGGTTCATAATAGTCCCTAATGATCTTCTGTTTGTCTGTGGTATCAGTTGTAATCGCTTCTTTTTCATCTCTGATTTTACTTATTTGGGTCACTTTTTCTTAGTCTAGAAGTTTGTTACTTTTGTTTTTCTTTTCAAAAGCCAATTTTTTGTCTTTTTTTTTTTTTTTGGTTTGTATTTCGTTTATCTTTGCTCTGATATTTTTTGTTTCTTTCCTTCTACTGACTGTGGGTTTGGGTTGTTCTTGCTTTTCTAATTCTTTAAATCATATCATTACATTGTTTTTACTATCTTCACTATGTGATCAACTTTAATTTCCACATCGATTGCTTTGACTTCATTTTCTGACGTTCTTTCTTCCAAGTGATCTAGTCTGTTGGTTATGCTTTATTGAGTTTTTTAAAAATATTTTTATTAGTTATTGATGGACATTTATTTATTTATTTATTTGTTTGTATGCGGTGCTGAGATTGCATCCTTCATTTCAAGGATTTCTGGTTTTTTTTTTTTTTTCAGAGTCTCTCTTTCTTGAAGTAATCTTTTGCTATCTGTATTTTCTCTCTTATCTCTTTGTTGGAGTGATCAATTTTTGCCTATATTTGCTCATTTAGGTCTTAGGTCATTCTTCAATTCACAGATCATTTTAATTATGAACCTTCTGAACTCCTTCTCTGACATTTCATCAACTTCACTGTCCATGGATTCTGTTATTACAGTATCCTGGTTTGTTTGGGGCACCTTCCTCCCTTGTTTTTTTCATGTTGTCTGTGTGTGGCCTTAGAATAGCACTGGAAGTAGGCGGAGGACATTACAGGTTTTTAGCTTTTTCCAGGCTTTGATCAGGTTAAGGAGCAAAATCAGCCTGTCACCATGCACGCTGTAGTTCCTTTTAAGACTCTCTAAAGGAGCTCAAAAAGCACTTGCTGTGAAAGAAGGACATTTACAGTGTCTTTCTTTCTTGCAGTGTGTATCAGAGATATTACAGTTTCTTCCCTGTATTCTTGTAGTACCCGTGCAGATTGTCTGTCCCTCACCTTGATGTTGGGCTTCAAGAGAGAGCTGTTTTTAAAGTGTTATATGAATTTAAGCTACACAAAACTTATGATCACAGAAAATGGCATAGTTTAGTGATTATGAATATAAGTCCTATGATCATAATAGTTTTTATTAATTATTTTGATCTTCTCATACTTACAGAACCAATAGATTCCTAACATTGTGCCTTCAACCCCTTCAAGGAATTTTATCCCTTTCAGATAGTTACATTAAGAAAAAATTACTACTTGTAGTGCCTATTAAGTATAAAAATAAAATATACAAAATGTTTGACAACTAATTAAGTATCATTGTTTCTGTTGCTTAGATTAGGATAATAGTAATAGTTTTAAAATACAGAAGGAAAAACTGTATATGACACATTGCTTTGTGATGAAAATTGCTGTATTTAACTCTTGCTTTAAAGGCACTGTGTTCAAATATACAGTGCTAACAGAAAAAAAAATTTGTGAATCTAATACTGTTGAATATTAAATAGTACTAAATATTCTCAATTTTCATGATAAACAGTTTAGAAATAATTATTGTGTGTGTGTATGTGTGTGTGTGTATCAGTTATCAATGGACCTTTATTTATTTATTTTTATGTGGTGCTGAGAATCAAACCCAGTGCCTCACAGTTGCTAGGCAAGCGCTCATCTCTGAGCCACAACCYTAGCCCAGGAACAATTAGAAACAAATATCATGAAAGCTCTGAATGCAAGTTTAACAGGAGCAGAAGATATATTAGCTTTAACTATTACCTGTGGAGTTTGTTACCTGTTTTAAATTATTCCTTTTATAATATTTCTTAAACATTTGAGCTGAGATATGAAACATCTTTCTACAATGATGCTTGACACTTGACATAGTAGAAAGTGCTTCAATTTCTTTATAATTTTTAAAATGATTTATGATATTTATGATAAATGTATAAATTCTGCCTTTTCAAGTACCTTAAGCTATCATAACACATTTTCCCTCCATTATACACATCTGGAAAAGCTGCCATATTAAATAGATCCATTATCTTTACATTCTATGCTGGTACCCAAGCAGCTAAAACATCAATAGGTTAAAAACATGACTGCACTGGGTGATATCACATTAAAGTTGTGACCATACATTTAGTTGAGCCCTAAATGCTGCCTGGTTATTCTACTACCTTTTATAAAATGATTGTTATCCTCCCATCCCAAATGACTATTTTATTCCTTATCGCTTTCTTTCTGTTACTCCTTAAACCTACTGAGCTTTCATTTGACAATTTTGCCTTATAGTTCTTTAAGGAAATGGAAAATGTCACACAAGAATTCTCTCATTTTTTTTTCTACCACCAAATTTGATGTGAAATCTACTTGATTTTGCTTTATTGTAGCATCCTCTGATGTCATGTTTTATATAATTCTCAATTACCAAATAGTCTCAAATAGCCAAATGTATTGCTTACATGGTCATCACTTAATTGAACATTCATCTTGTTAAAGCATTAGAAGTTAGGGAAAATGTGTAGTAGAATTTAGTACCTGATCAGAAACTTCAATTTATTCATCTAATTTTTATTGTTAACCTGTGAGTTGAAGGTATTCATACTGTTTTCAGATTAATAAAATTTAAAGACTTATGTCACTGAATTCAGGAGTCTCTGTAATAGTAGTGGGTGTTAAAGGGGAAAATTATGACTTAACAGTGATAAAGTGTGGATCCATGAAACAATGAAAACCAGACACTGAAATATATCCTTCAGCTTAAATATGGAAAAATTTTAAAAATAGTTTCTTTATTTTGAGCCACGGCATGGACAGCACCAACAGCACAGTATCCTGCATGGATTTCTTTTTTTGTATTTTACTGCTAGTCCAAATTTCTCTTTAGTATTGTTAACATAATCTTTTGTACTATTTACTATCATTTCAATATTATTGATGCTCTCTCCTTGTTCCTCTACTAAAAGAGATATCTGAATGAAAAGATCCCGTAAATCCTTTACTTGGTTTTCCAAATTAACAAGTTCCTTATGTCTTTGTTCAATCTCTGAGAGTTGTGCTTTAGTGATATTGATTTCTGTGAGTAAGCTTTCATTAAAAACTTCCCATTTTCCTTGGTGAAGCATATCATTTACTTCTTCTTCAGGTACCTCTTTACCAGAAACTTCAAGTTGACGAAAAATAAATGCCTTGCACTTCTCTTGCTTTGCAGCTATTGTGTCATTGTATATAAACATGGTTTGTTGAAAATGTCGGAACATTGCAGCATACTGAGATTTAAGTATCCTTGTGATGACTGACGATGGACCATTTTCAACCTCTGACTTTTTAACTTCTTTAACTAAATCACCCAAACCTCTGTTAATGTGTTCTGCTTGGGCTTTTATCTCCTTTGTAATGCTAGACTCTCTCTTAAGGAGGCTAAACCTTCTCATTGAAGCCATCAGACTTTTCTGTTGCTGTCCAAATCTTTGCACATCATCTGCCAAATTGTTAATATTCTCCTGTAGTTTTTGGATCTCATGTAGGTGTCTCTCAGCTACAGGCTCTCTCTCATAAATAACAGCTTGCTGCACAAACACCCCTTTTTCCTCTGTTTCCGAACTTAACACATGACTGTCTCTGTAAAGTTCAATTTCCTTTGTTCTTTGCTTTAGTTCTTGAAGTCGGTCTTTCATCTTCCCTTTCCTGCTAAGAAGCAAGAATGATTATGTTAAAAAGAAATTTGACTTGACATAGCTGTTTATCTCCCAGCAAAAATTCTCCTAGTTTTCTAAAAATTAATTTTAAAATAAGAAAAATTACTAAGAATTTTCACATAAATATCACTGAAATTGGAAAAATAACATGAAATAATTTATGAATCATTTTGCCTAATGGGTGGCTTCTGTGAATCTCATTTAGTTGAGTTTAGTATCTGAGAAAGCAGTGATGGAGACACAATTATCCCAAAATTAGTACTTCAGAGTCAAGATTCTAATATGTAATATTATTTTTCTTAATAAAGGGTGCTTTTGCTCTACTTTCAAGTTTTAGGATTAACCTTTAGACTTTAAAAGTGCCCATACTAATGATATTTTTAACAGTTAAGCTGGTCTGTGTAATGTTAAAAATATACTCATTTTGGTAAAATAGGCATAATTAAGTTAAAACCAGTGTTAAAAACAGGACAGTTTCTACATTAGAGTTTTAGGTAGGTAGATTATGGTGAATTTAAGTTTTCTGAGGCCTTTACGTTAACACATGTTATAGCTTTGTTTTCTTATCCATTGCATATTTATGAAATTATTTTCTTGGTTTGATTATGGTGATTTTTCTTTGTTTTGTTTTGTTTTTGGGGTACTGGGGATGGAACCCAGGGGAACTTAGCCATATCCTCAGCCTTTTTTTATATTTTTTATTTTGAAACAGGGTCTCACTAAGTTGCTTAGGGCCTTGCTAAGTTGCTGAGGCTAGCTTTGAATTTGCTATCCTCCTGCCTCAGCCTCCTGAGCCACTGGGATTACAGGTATGCACCACCACATCCAGCCTGATTTCTTATTAACATTCCTTTACAAAAGGTTATCTATAATATCTTATAATAAAATATCTATCATTTTCTTTTAATTGGTACTTTTTAAAGCATGAAAATATACTTATATAGAATTTTGAGTATGACATTTATCACATCCTGTACTGACAGTTCTCCATTGAAATCAAATTGATGCACATGTATAACATGATATAACTACATATAAAGCAACTTAAAAAACCAGTCTTCATTTATAAAAAAAAAAAAAATCTTTATTTTCACAGAGCATCTTCATTTTAGAATGGCATTTAATGTCTTTCATTATATTTTGGGTTAATCAAATAATGTTTACATTATTATAAACACCCAAATAATATTTAAAAAATATAAAGAATCATGGTTACAGTGCCTTTCTCAACTGTTTTTTTAAAATTGTTTTTAGGCCTGAATCACTGGGGAAAAAAAATAGAAAATGGGTATTTTTGTTTTAAGAAAATTTGCTATTGAACTATTTAGACATATTCAGAAAGGGCCCGGAACAAATGGATAGTTTGATGATTTTTCACAAAGTCAATACATCCATGTAAACATCGCACAGATCAATAAATACATAACTTTTGTATTTTCCTTCAAATTATTAAGTTTTTCAGTTGCTTCCCTGTTTTACATATGTATCACTAATTCATTCTAAGCTGAACTGACCTGAAAAATCCACTTGGTATCTTAAATATAGCAGATATTCTTTTTATTTTATTATTTTGTTTTTTGAAGATTGTTTTCTGGAATATTCTAACGTAAACTGGCTGTGTTGGAATTTTCCTTTCTTCTCCTTCAACAATTACTGGTTTCTTATCTTTATTCTTGGTTGACTCCTTTATTTGGGGATATCCATAGCTTCTTTTCAAAACATAAATGTTATTATAACGTACATTTCTGAAAATTAAAAAAAAATCTATCTTTACACCTGAGCAAAACATTTCCTGTGAATTTAACTCTCACAAAGAATATTCTCCTCAAGTTTTGAAACCAGTATCATCCAAAACCAAACAGACACATCAAGAAAAAAAAGTTCAGATTAATAACCTTGATTAACATAAGTGCAGAAATTCTTAATAAACTATTCTCAAACCACATATAAAAGCATATTGAAAAAGATAGTGCACCAAGATCAAGTAAGTTTTATCCCATGGATGCAAGGTTCGTTCAGCACATGGAAATCAATAAGTGAAGTTCATCACATAAAAGAGTATAAGGACAAGCATCATATGATTATCTCAATAGATTATCAAACTAAAAAGCATTTTACAAAGTGCAGTGCCCATTTATGTTTAAAACACCAGAGAAACTGGGGAGAGAAGGGATATACCTCAACATTGTAAAGGGAATATCTGACAAACCCAAGGCCAATATCATACCGAATGAAGAAAAACTGAAAGTATTTTCTGTAAAAACTGAAACAAGACAAGGATGCCCAATCTCACCACTCCTATTCAACATAGTCCTTGAAACTTTAACTAGAGCAATCAGTCAAGAGAAGGAAATTAAACTGATAAAATAGGAAAAGAAAAAGGCAAGTTATCTCTATTTGCTGATGGCATACTTCTATATTTTAAGAAGATCACAAAGATTTCACCAGAAGACTTCTAGAGTTGATAAATTTAGCAAAGTAGCAGAATATAAGATGAACATACGTAAATAACTTTCCTATACTTTAATAATTAATCTATTGAAAAGAAAACTAAAAGCGTTTACAGTAACCTCAAAAAGTACTTGTGAATTAATCTAATGAAGGAGGTGAAGGACTTCTGCAATGGAAACTACAGAACACTGAAAAAAGACATTGAAGGATATCTTAGAAGATGGAGATACCTCCCTTTTTCTTGGATAGGCAGAATTAATATTGTCAAAATGGCTGTACTACCAAAAGTGTTTCACAGACTCAATGCAGTCCCCTTCAAAATACTAATGACATTCTTCACAGAACTAGAAAAAACAGTTGTAAATTTATTTGGAAAAATAAGGATCCAAAAGAGCCAAAACAATCATGAGCAAAAAGAGTGATGCTGGAGGGAGACATCATAGTACCTGACTCAAATTATACTGCAGAGCTCTAATAACAAATACCACATGGTATTGGCACCAAAACAGACTTGAAGACCAATGGAATAGAATAGAAGACACAGAGACAAACCCACATAAATACAATTACCTGATGTTAGACAAAGTTGCCAAAGACATACATTGTAGAAGAGATAGCCCTGTTAACAAATGGAGCTTGGAAAACTGGATATCCATATGTAGAAGAATGAAACTTGACACTTATCTTTCACCCTTCACAAAGGTCAACTCAGAGTGAATCACTGACCAGAAACTCTGCAATTGCTAGAAAATGTAGGCCCAACATTCCAACATATTGGCACAGGAAACAACTTCATTAATAAGACTCCTAAAATGCAAGAAATAAAACCAAATATAAATATCAAACTAAAAAGCATCTGCACAGTAAAAGAAACAATTAAGAACATGAAGAGAGCCTACAGAATAGAAGATCTTTGCCACCCGCATTTCAGACAGGGCATTAATATCCAGAATTTATAAAGAACTCAAAAACTTAGCACCGAAAAACAAAATAAAACAAACCCCCCCCACATAAAACCCAGTTAAAAATGAGCAAAAGAACTAAAAAGACACTTCTCAAAAGAAGAAATACAAATGGCCCACAAATAAATATATGAAAAATTTTTCAACATCTCTGTCAATTAGGAAAATGCACATCAAAACTTGGGCTGGGATTGTGGCTCAGCGGTAGAGCGCTCGCCTCGTGCAGGCGGGACCTGGGTTCGATCCTCAGCACCACATAAAAATAAAGGCATTGTGTTGTGTCCATCTACACCTAAATAAATAAATAAATATTTCTTTAAAAAAATCTTTTATTGAGATTTCATCTTCTCTATCAGGATGACAATTATTAAGAAGAAAAATAATAATAATTGGTGATGAGGATATGGAGTAAAACGTACATTCATACATTGTTGGTGAGACTGAAAATTAATGCATCGATTGTGGAGAGCAGTATGTTGATTCCTCAAAAACTAGGACTGGAACCAACCATATGACCCAATTATCCCACTTCTTAGTAGAAACCCCAAAGATCTAAAATCACCTTGATGTTTATTTCAACACAATTCACAATAGCTAAGCTGTGGAACCAACCTAGGTACATCTCAACAGATGAATGAATAAAAAAAATGTGGTATGTATACACAATGGAGTATTACTCAGCCATAAAATAGAATAGAATTATAGTATTTGTAGGTAAATGGATGGAACTGGAGACTATCATGCTAAGTGAAATACTGAAATATGCCCAGACCCAGGAAGTCAAAGGTGGAATGTTTTCTCTGATTTACAGAAGGTATTTCAAAATAAGAGGGAGTGGGGAGAAAGGAAAAGAGGGGGGCTCACTAATTTCTTTTTCAAAATAGAAGATGAGTGGAATAGAGGAAGGGGATGCAGGGGGAGAGAAGAGGAATGGTCTAAGGGAAGAATAGTAGAATGAATATTACCTAACTTTACATATATGAATATGTCACAGTGAATCTCACCATCATGTACATCCACAAGACACTAATTAGGAAAAGAAAAGAAAAGAAAACTACAAGAGGAGAAAGATCAGTAAAGGGAAGGGAACAAGGAGAGGGAAGAGGGAAGGGAATGGGGAAGTAAGTGGGGATTGAATTAGAGCAAATTATATTCCATGCCTTTATAATTATGAATGAACAACTAAATGTTATGTACAACTATAGAATGAACAACTAAATGTTATATACAACTATAAAGAACCAATAATAAAAAGAAAATTTTGCTATGTTCTCTCTTTTGCCCTTAAGAATCTGCTACCTGATTCCTTTACAATTATCTGCTAAATATTTAATGGGTATTTTTAATTTAGAAACTCATATATTTAGAATTTTTTGTTTATTTTGCTTTGTAGTTTTTATAGTGTAGTTGGTTTTAATTACTACCCTTTAATTTAGTCATTAGTGGTTTCCTATTTATTTTTGGTACCTGAAAGTTTCCTTTCTTACTTTAAAATTTAATGATGTAGTTTTTAAATTTCTTTCTTTCTTTTCCTTAGGGTTATATCAACGCTTTCTGTATGTTTAGAACACAAGGGAATTATTTCAATGTCTGTGTGTCTCCACTAAGTCATAGTTGATTATTTTTGTAGGTCAACACTTCAAAAAATTTTTCCAGTTTTGTTCATTTGTGCAGAAATCGACTTCATGTAGGTACTTAGATGCACTTACATGCTGTATATAAATTGTATTTTCTAGTAATTGTATACTTTTAACTATATATGCATAACTATTTTCAATTTGATTGATCCTTATGCCTTTATAAATCAGAATATTAGGCAAAGTGAGATATCCAGACATGTTAGAATTTGAAAGTTGGAGGAGATGGAGTTCATATAGTTTCAAAATATGAAGCTCATTATTGTGAAATTATTTAATTGCTGAAGCTAATTTTGTGCAATCTTTTCTGTACTTTAAATTTTCTTTCTTAATGGTAGAAGTATCGTATCCAAATATGAAATATCTTTCAGAATGTTTAGCTTAGTACATAGATATACATTTTGGAATTTTACTAGTGGTAATGGACTTTGATTTTAAACATGTTTGAGAATAGAGCAATGATTAGTACATATGGTAACCAACTTTGACAATTTGTTGTAGGAAATAGAAAAGTAAACTTGTGTGATTCAAGTAAAACTTTTTTCATCCTATTACAGATAGTACAAATTCTTAAAGACAGAAACACAAATACAAATTACCTAGTGCTTTAAAAAAATATGCCCTGGGATAGATACTTAATATATTTAAAGTAAGCCATTTTTTCCTAGGGTTACTATGGTGGTTAAATAAAATACTTTTAAGAAATACATCCAGTGCCTAATCCAAGGTAAATAGAGTATCCTTTTTCTTTTTTATGTGAAGAAAACTTGCAACATTTCTCTAGTTCAAGATTAAAGCAATAGATCTTATAGGAATATTAACCTCTTTGGCTACTTAAATAAGAGCTAGATGACAGTTTCTAAAAATAAACTGAAACTTTTCTAAAATAAAAACAAATTGCATATATTCTCTAACCTTGAATCATCTGACTTTTTTTGCAATGCAGTCTTTCAGTGCTTTCTACTTTTCCTTAGTGTAGATAAATTGTAAACTYGTTTAACAATATTAGGACCCTTTTGTTTATTAAAACTCTTAATTTTTAAACTTTCACTTACTGATTTAATTAACTTATATGCATATAAAAATGGTTTTTATATTAAACTTAAAACTCCACAGCCTTGAAGATAACTTGCTTTAGATATTACATGGCCAATTCTTAAATCTTCCCTTAAAGTACTTACAAAAGTCATTATTATTTTTACTTGGGATATTTACTTAGAAATAGGATATTTTAAAAATTCTAATGTCAACAATTGTGATAACATAGAAAGTATCTTACCTCTTGATATATCTTGCATTCAAATAATGGTGACTTTAACAACTTTTGTGATTTAAATATTTGCAGTATCCTAGCTAAAACATTAAAATTTGACTAATTTTATATTTCACTGTGATCTTTATACAATAATTTAATATTCTCATTACTTCAAATTAATTTCAGAATGTTCTAGGAAACAACAATGAAAAAATTAATTAAAACTATAGAAAATAATCTCAAACTTTAAAGGTTATACATATGTGTCCAATTTGTGCGCAGTTTTCTTTTGAATATTAATGTGAAAATATTCTCTAAAGCACAGCATGATTAGTTTATAGTCGATAAAAGAATTTTAGATTTGTTTTTATAAAATCTGGCTTTCCAATGTTTTCAAAATGAGAGGTCATTTGTTAAAGAATTTTAAAAAACTCTTTCCTCTAAAGTTGATTAACAAAGAGCTCTACACTCAAATCACATTCAGTTTTTCAGTAGAATACATGAACAGATCAGCTATCTGTAGCCCTGTCCGAGTCTGAGCAAAACAGCAGTTTTAACTATGTGCTGAGCTAATTTTAAATGTCAAAGTATAACTAGATTTTAGTCACTGGATTTCTAACATCAAAAAAGTACAAAAAACGTAGTTTATTTACCTTTCTGTCTTGTTCCTTTTGTTGCTTTTCCACCTTCCTTGTTGTGAGTTCTGCCTTTGAAAGGAAATCTGAGTATCACATTATGTAATGTTTGATCAAATTACTGAAATCTCTGTCTTATAGGTCACAGCCTAATTTCTATATGTTTCTCATATAGTTAATTGAAAGCCAAATAATGAAATCAAATAAGTTGGAGATAAAGTTGTACTTTTGCTGTTAATATGAAATGAGAAGAACAAATTGCTTACTTCACACCCGGAGAATCTGGTTCTGCCAGTTAGACGCCTATTCTTTAGATTAAAGAAAGATTTTCATTGGAGCTAGCTTGTAACAGGAAGTCCTTGTTTTACTGCCTACATAGAGTATTTTGCACAGTCTCTGAAACTCAAGTCCTACATTATCTATACAATATATTACTCAAAAAAAAGCAGTGAGTTTACTTTTTTTTCTTTAGATATAAAAGCCTATTAAAAAAATAAGGAATTAAGTAGGAATAAATAAGAGTGTAAAGAAGCTTGGTATAAAGCCTTTTTGTTCCATTTACTTTAAAATTATTGAATTTTATCCTATTTTAGGAAATCCCGGAAGGGCACATAGCTCATAGAATCATAGAATTTCAGGAGAACATCCACAAAAAAAGCTCATGTCTTTAAACCTCTCATGCTACTTTTCATTTTACTATATTGCTATTTTTACTTTACAAGATGTTTCTTTCAACATGGAAGAGCTAAAGCTGTATAGTAATATTAAGCCATTTATTTGTTATACAAATATAACAACTCAAAACTAATACCAGGAGGAAGTAGTTATAGGAAAAATTAGAAATGAAAATTTTTCTGATACTACCAAATTCCCAAACCTCTCCTGTTTTTTCCCCCTACATTAGTTGTTTGAGGGCAAGAGGAAGAACATTCGTATAACAAATATCAAAATAACATTTATCTTTATTCTTTGACTTAGAAGTCCTACCTCTTGGAATCTGTTTCTCATTAAGAAATGACTCTGAAACCACCTAATTTTTACAGTACTCTGTAAAAATGAAATGGTGAAACACAAATATCCTTCAGTGCAGGATGAACTGAATAAATGACAGAATATTTATGTAGTGGTGCATTTTGCAACTACACAAAATAAAATTTTTTTTATTCTTTCTCAGAGCAGATTTAGAATTTAATATTGAGTTAAAACAAAAAGCACAGTGCAAAAGAAATGTATGCCGTATACTAGCTTTAAGAAAGGGAAGGTGAATATAATATACACACAGACAAAAATCAGTCAATGACAATGAATATCCATCATGCCCAAATTGTGCTCTTTAAAATACAATTTCTCCCATATACTTATTTATATTTTCAGAATGAAAGTATGTGAGGATAAACTAAAAACTAATGAAAATAGTTACATATAAGAGAAAGGAAGGAATAGAGAAAGAGAAGGTATAGATATGGATGATATTTCTTTCTGATTGAAACTTGTTTATGTACTTTTGAATTTTGAACCATATAAATGCATTAACAATTAATTTTAAAAAAACAAATTTCTTTATAAAGTAAAACTACTCTGAAACAAATGAACCTACCTATATAGCTAAGTGATGGCATAGTCACACAGAAAAGGGTTATTTCAAGTATTTAAAACTCAATATTTGTGACATCTGTAGTAGGAAATATCTTAGAGACAGAAATAACCACAAAGATATCTTAACCTTCATTTAGTAATCTTTATTTTTAGTAATAATATTAAAGTTATTAAGTTTATTTGTTTTATATGATTCTAAGGATTACACCCAATGCCTCACATGTGCTACGCAAGCGCTCTACCACTAAGCTACTGCCCCTGAAATTATTAAGTTTAAACTCATATAGGATGAAGCAAATAGTTAATGTCAATGTCATTAGAACTTGTAGTTGTCAGCATATATTAAAAAGAGATACAAATAAGATCTAAGAAGCTAAGTGAAAACTTCGTAATATTTGATTTGAAGTTAAACAGAATCAGTATTAACTGATTGTACCACCAGGTACAATTCATTTTTATTAAAATTAGGAAATAAAGGCAAAAGATCAGATGTTGGTCTTAATTTTTTTCTATGAATTGAATTTAAGTGAGTCACAAGTAGTTTTTGAAAGCTAATTTTTTATAGAAAATTCTGGTATTAATTATGGGAAGAATATAGAACTAAATAAGTCACCTTTTATAAACTAGTATAAAATAAAAGAATCAAGCAAAGATCATCAGTAAAATTTGAAATGAAAGGCCAATGTGGAACTTTATTTTAAATGGATCAGACTGTAAATCTACTGATCAATTTTAATATCATAAAAATATGGTAGCATATAAAAAGTAATATTGTATGGCTCCTGTGCTTGCCAAAAGAGTTCAACATGAAAAGTGTTTGGCCTCTACATCTAACTACCAAATATGGGGAGTACAGAGTATATATGTTAAATGGTCTCATGAGGAAGTATTACTTAAATCCAAAACATGGGAAAGCCTAAAAAGAAATGATTTGTTTTATTTTGTAAGGAAATAACATAGTAGGAAAAGAGGAGCTATGCAGTATACTAGCTTTAAGAAAGGGAGGGTTAATATAATATTAAAAAAACACTTAAGACTGATAAGTTATGTGTATGGATTGTATCTGATTTTGAACTTAACATTTACAAAATGATACTGGGGAATGTTGAATGCATTGAGGTAATATTAAAGGTTTACTATCAATTTGTTAGGTATAACAAAGATATTATGGTAATATATTGTAATTTTAAAATGAACAGGGAAAAGTGGAAGGTATATAGATGAATAAGGTTGGTTCAGTATTGATAATTTTTTTAAAATTGATCATAGAGTTTCATTAGATATATTGTTCAGTGTATTTATTAAAAACTACATTTTGCCCTCCCCCCAAAAAAACCCCTGTCATATGCATTACATTGTCTTTTAGTTTTGGAACGAGATTGGTTCCARGACTGCCCTATAATACCAGAACTAAAGATGCTCAAGTCCCTTGTAGAAAATAGCGTATTATTTGCATATAATTTGTGTATAGCCTCTGATATACTTAAACGGTCTTTAGATTGCTTATAATACTTAGTGCAGCATAAATGCAGTGTAAATAGTTGTAACACTATTGTTTAGGAAATAATGACAAGAAAAATATATGTAGACAAATAGCAATATCTCAGTGTGATTCCCATTTTTCTTAAGAACTTATTTCTTCCCCAGTTGTCCCTAAATGAATGTGTTTGTTGTGTATATTTATGCCCAGTGCTGGTCCAAGTAACTAGAAGTATAAGTCTCCAGTAAATTGCACATTTATGTGGACATATTCACACATCAGAAATATAGATGAACTCAAATATTATTATTGTTATTTTTAATTTGTTGGTTTTTGATATACATGACAAACTGATAAATGAGCACAAGTGCCTTTGTTAGATAATAAGTAAGATAGAGTGCATTTTGACATGCTTTACATATATGGAGTATAACCCACTCCAATTAAAATCCCATTCTTTCGGTCGTACATACTGTGGAATTACACTGGTTATGTATTAATTTATGAGCAAAGGAAAGTTATGTCCAATTCATTCTGCTGTCTTTCCTGTTCCCATCCCCTCACCCTTCTCTTCATTTGCCTTTGTCTAATCCATTGAACTTCTATTCTTCCTCTCCCAACCCTCCCTTGTTGTGGGTTAGCATCCACATATCAGAACATTTGACCTTTGGCCTTTTGGGACTGGCTTATTTCACTTAGCATAATATTTTCCAGCTTCATCCATTTATTAGCAATGCCATGATTTTATTATTCTTTATGGCTGAGTAATATTCCATAGTGTATATATACCTTTTTCTTTATCCATTCATCTGTTGAAGAGCACCTAGTTTGGTTCCAGAGCTTGGCTATTTTGAATTGAGGGGCTATTAACATTGATGTGGCTCTTTCACTGTAGTATGCTGATTTTAAGTTCTTTGGGTATGTACCAAGGAGTGGCATAACTGGGTCAAATTGTGGTTCCATTCTAAGTTTTCTAAGGAATTTCCATACTTCTTTCCAGATTGGTTGCATCAGTTTGAAGTCCTACCAGAGATGTATGAGTGAACCTTTTTCTTCACATCCTCATTAACATTTATTATTACTTGTATTCTTAATAATTGCCATTCTAACTGGAGTGAGATGTCCAGTGTAGTTTTACTTTTCATTTCTCTAATTGCTAGAGATGTTGAACATTTTTTTCTTATATTTTTGGCCTTTTGTATTTCTTCTTCTGTGAAGCATCTGTTCAGAACTCATATATTATAAGCACAGCTTGAGTATGTGTCATTTAAAACATGGTTGTTTGTATTTTTAAATTGTAGGAACATGAGATAAGAGTACTTACATCATGATATAATTCATTTTAAGAGGATGAGGACATAGTTTTGACTGAGGGATATGGAAAGTAGCCCACTTCTTTCTCCTTTTGTAACTTTTTTGTTGGCCTGTTAATTTATTGCTTTTGATATGTGAACACTTTTCTTTATCTGATTTTCCTCTCTTAGGCCAGTCCTTACAGACTTCTTTTCATCAATAATAAGCGAAAATGTTGAAATTAATACTACCATACTTTCTAAAATCAGGTTATTCATTATTCAGTAGATTAAAACTTTGGAATTGAAGGAAATGGTCAAAATATTTTAAGTCACCATCTGATTATATATGCTATAAAATAATTTCATTTGTCATTCTTAGGTTGGCAAATAAACAGGACAAGGAAGGGGCTTTAGGAGAAGCTGATGTGATTGAATGTCTCTCTCTGGAAAAACTGGTCAATGAGCACAAGTGCCTTTGTCAGATAGTAAGTTTTTTCCTCCCTTCGGTGTAAATTTTGTTCAGTGTAACTTAGTTTTGTATAGGTGATAGATAATTAGAGTGTAACTTTAATAAGAGTTCCCCTGTCCCAAGGAAATCATGCTCTCACTGTTCTAATGATATTAGCTTGTATTATAAAATTTGTAGTCTATTTACTTGTTACTGACTTCTATAAATTATCCTTCATAATTTCAAAGATTTTTTACTTTTGCCTTTTGTTTTATGATATTGTTAGCTGGGCATGGCGGCACATTCCTATAATATCAGTGGCTCGGGTGACTGAGGCAAGGGAATTGCAAGTTCAAAGCCAGCCTAGCAAGACCCTAAGGAACTTAGCAATATCCTGTTCCAAAATAAAAAGATAAAAAGGGCTGTGGATGTGGTTCAGTGGTTAAGCACCCCTCAGCTCAATCTCTGGTACCACCACCACCCCACCAAAAAAAAAAAAAAAAAAAAGGACAGGACCTGTAGAATTTACCAATATATTGTGCTACAAATATTGAGAAAGGGGAAGGAAAAAGTATAAATATAAAGCTTATTTAAATATAAGAGATTAATAATAAATTTTGAAAAATGACATCAGGAGTTTTGTAGCCTACAAATATCATCTATAATATCTTTCAACTTCTGTGTAATATGAAAGTTACTGACCATTGCAAAAGTGGTTATTTTAAGTTAGCAGGTGTTTCATATCAGTAATTTAAATGGCTTAATTTTGATATGCCAGTAATTATACATCATGGTTTATGAATAGATTTATGTGGAGAACTTTTAATTTTAATCTTTGAATAAAATAATTTCTGTTTTAGGAACCTTGTTCAGCAGTCTTGGGATATGGAAAGAAAATTGACAAGTCCATTAAAAAAGGCCTTTATTGGCTACTACATAACATTGCAAGAGACTTTGATACCTTAAATGAACGCATCCAAAAAGACACAACAGAACAAAGAGCTCTTGAGGAACAAGAGAAACGAGAAAGGGCTGAGCGAGTTCGAAAATTACGAGAAGAAAGGTAAATAATTTAACACTGTGGTATATTTGAAGATATAATACCATGGCACTTTTAAAAATAATTTGTGAGTTTGTCTATTCTAGTTTCATCTGTTTTGTGTGAAAGAAAATATTAAGTTAATTGCCTATTTCTATGGATCTTTGCACAAGTTTGGATGATAGATTTTTAATTTTCCTGTTGGTTTTATACTAGTTGTAAATGTACTTTTTATGTAGTCATTATTTCTCAGACTTTAAAATTTATGTCTTATTTTTTATTGGTACTTTTAAATCTGTGCTTTTCAACAGGTAGAGAAATTTTGCCTCTCAGAGAACTTGTGGCACGGTCTTGAGACATTTTTAGTTGCCAGAGYTGGGGAGTAGGGGGAAGTGCTGCTGAAATGTAATGGATAGAGGCCAGGGGTGCTGCTAAATGTCCTGTAATGCACAGGACAGTTTCCCACAACAAAGAATTGTCAGGCTCACTATATCATCATGTATCGAGATTAAGAAAACTTTAGATTCAGCAAAGATGGAAAGAGACAGCTTGGGGGGCTGAGGCAGGATGATTGCAAATTCAAAGCCCACCTCAATAAAAGTGAGGCGCTAAGCAATCTCAGTGAGACACTATCTCTAGGTAAAATGCAAAAAAGGGTTGGAATTTGGCTCAGTGGTTGAGTGTTCCTGGTTTCAATCCCCAGTACAAAAAATAAAATAAAATTTAAAAAAAGATGGTGAACTAATAGAGGATTGTTCAACCCAAGCAAAAGCTGATCTTCAGCAGTAATATTGTCAGAAAAATAAGTTATCTCAGGTTTTTAAAATATATTTAAAAATTATTTTCAAATATGCCATTTGAAGGAAAACATTTAAACTAAATCCACCAAATTCTATTAAAAAAAAGATTGTATAAATTCTACTTCAGAATCATGATTTTAATGCTATAAGAAAGTGCTAATATTTGAATAGAAGTTGTATTGTTACACGGTAGAGAAGGGGAGAAAAGAGGAAAATGAAAAATATTTTTAAGTGAACTATAAGATTCAAACTTGCCTTCCATCAACTTAAGTAATATTGGCTTTCCACATAGTTTAACATAGTTGCAGCGCAGTAGACAAGAAGCCACTACCTTTGTGAGGTGCTTCCTTACATTGTAAAAGATATCATCTGATGATATCTGTCTTTCAATGTAAAGATAGCACTTAAAGGAACAAAATATCTGTAGAAATAACTCTGTCCCCAAGTGTTCAGTAGTATGAGTTTATCTGTTAATCTCTTGACATCAAAGAATGAATGGGATGAGAGATCTTGGCAACTGCCCGTATGAAGTTGTACTCACTGTGAGAATCTTTGTATTTTCTTATCCTAGTGTATATTTTCATGATGTAAAGCTATTACAGCAATTATGTATATATTTATAAAAATAAAATATTCAGCCACATTTTTCTAAAATATCTGTTGCCTTTCCTCCACTGAGTGGAGCTCACTGGTGGAGAATGTGCATAGCATATGGGATGCCCTGTGTTCAAAACCAGTAGCAAAAAAGAAAAGGAAATGAAGATGAAACAACAATAAAAAGTTGAATTAATATAATAAATCTAATGTAAAACATTTTTCTAAAATTTTTACCTTTTCTGTAATGATATTTTATGTATGTTATGACAGGCATTTTTGATAGTCATTCCCCTTTCCTGCTTTCTCCATAGCCATGCCTGTTGTAATCTTAGACCTCAACTGTTAAGCTGAGACTTCATAGTTAAAAGTAAACTGGCCTTTAGAGAGGAATGAATAAAACAATCTTTTTTACTTTTTATTTCACCAATTTCAGTCTAATTGGTTCACACTGAGATTTCTAATGTTTCTGAAAAATATGCTGTTTTTGGTATGAAAATAGTATATTAATACTATATATCTGAAATTGTTACTAGTAATCAGTAACATTAATAATAATGACTGTCCTATAAGTGTGTTCATTTACAGAATATTTTTACATATATTAGTTTATCTGATCCTCATTACATCCTTATGAGGTATTTTTGTCCACATTGGTGGGAAAACTGAGGCTCAAAGAGCCAGTCCAAGGTCACAAAAGAAGCAAATTTACAAATCTCCAAATCTTTTTTTCTTAGATTCAGATTGAAAGATGTATATTTCCATAATAGAACACAGTTGATGAATTTCATAGTAATGAACATTCAAATTGCTATATTATACTGATAGTCTGGTTGAAGATCCACAATATTAACTTTTCTGCCTTTGGCTGCTTCTTTTAGTAACTTATTACTCTTCAAGTACTGGGCAACATGAATGATAAATTTCAGAGATAGTAATATTTCATTGGTACCTAATATGGAATTATTTAATCTGATTATTGAAGGACAACTTATTTTTATAGCCTCATACTATTATGCAGAATAATAGTTGTTTTCTAGTTCAAATATGATGTACAACTTAACAAAATTTATCATTTAATGTTACTTTTTTGTCATGTACTTCTATAGAATCAATCTGCAGTGTGCTACTTTTTTTTCTGTCTTGTAAGAAACATGTTTCTACATAAATAAAAACATAGATTGTGTTGGTGTTTTCCCAGTACTTTTAACAAGAGAAGACATAGCCCTTAAGAAGAAGGTTATCAAAGACTTAACCTATTGATCAGTAAAAAAGACACTAATTATTTTAGAGGATAATTAATGAATCAACAAATAAACTCTCTTTGCACATGGAAAAATAATTAAATTGTACTTCAGCATTGAGAAATCAGACATACAATGTCATTTTTGTCAGAATTTCTTTTAAAATTCAAATGATAAATTTTTACATGAGGATAGAGGCCTATTACCTCCATGAGGAATTTTTAAATGTTCTTAGTAATTAAAAGACAAAACTTGATGTTTAAATTACTAAATTTAAATAATCTTAAACCTATCTCGAATAGGTTTCTTAAACATGGCTCAGCGCTTTTTCAAAATGATTTTATTTTTCTTTTCCTCTTCAAATAATAGAGAACAAAGAGAACGAGAGCAATCTGATGGAACCAGTGGTCTGGCTGAGTTGGACCCAGAACCAGTTACTGTTAACCCTTTCCAGCCAATAGCATCTGTAATTATTGAGGTATGAGTGATGACAAATGTTAATTTTTATATCTTAAATTATAAGTTCGAAGTTGGGACAGGAGGTAAGGAGGTAGAAGAATTTCTCCAGAGAGATTTTTTTGTAACAAAACTAAAGGCGAGATACAATTAGGTTTACTAATTTTTCTTTCTCTTCAAATTTACTTTTTGAGATATATAGCTCAGTGGCAAAATGCTTGCCTGGCATTCATCCAAAATATTTTGAAAATTTTAATAATTACTTTTTCTTTTTACTAGTTGCTCATGACAATACAATGATCTTAACATATTATACATTTGAATCAAATGGGGTATAATTTCTCATTTTTCCAAATGTACAGGTTGCAGAATCACCTTGGTTATACGTACAGCAATACTAGTATCTATTTAATTCTGCTGCCTTTCCTATCCCCCCTACCCCTCCCCTCCCCTCTCATCACCTCTCTCTACCCAATCTAATGTGACACATTTCTTTCCCCCCCCCTCACATCATCATACATGTATTTTGTATAACGATGAGAGTCTCCTTCCATCTTCCGTGCAATTCCCCTTCTCCCTCCCATTCTCTCCCACCTTACTTTTTTGAAGCCAGGTGTGGTGGTGCATGCCTGTAAATCCCAGCAGCTCAGAAGTCCAAGACAGGAGGATTCCAAGTTTGATACTATCCTCAACAACTTAGCAAGACTCTGAACAACTTAGCAAGACCCTGTCTCAAAATAATAAATAAAAAGGACTGAAGATGTGGCTTGGTGGTTGAGCACATCTGGATTCAATCCCCACTACCTCCTCCCTCCCAAATAATTACTTTTGATGTAGCACAGAAAGGGAAATATTTGATTGTAAAATTATATGAGAATGAAAATAATGTTTGAATACGGCCAATATTAAAGTTACTATTTTTATTTATTTATTGGTACCAGGAATTGAACTCAAGGGTACTCGACCACTGAGCCACATCCCCAGTCCTATTTCCTGTTTTTGTTTAGAGACGGGGTCTCACTGAGTTGCTTAGCGCCTCACTGTCGCTGAGGCTGGCTTTGAACTCCAGATCTCTTGTCTCAGCCTCCACAGCCACTGAGATTACAGGTGTGCACCACTATGCCCAGCTTAAAGTTACTATTGTTGATAAATTTATTTTTGTCATTTATTTCATACAGTAGCATTGTATTTATTCTTATTTATAGTATCTTATTCCCAGTTTTCATCTATGATAATACTTGGATGCTCATAATGTGTTAGACTACATAGACAACTTTGTTCTCCCAGGAAAATAAGAATACTCAAAACTGCAACATATTCTCCTATATCTGTATACCATTTATTTTAATTTTAATTATCGCAAGTTTTTCAAACATTAACTTGTAGATTTTATATTAAGAAGTTAAGGGGTTTTGTGTGTGTGTGTGTGTGTGTGTGTGTGTGTGTGTGTGTCTTTGTTTTCATCTTCTGCTGAGGTCCAGAGTTTACATTGGCTCCACTTTAATCACTCTCATCAGCCACCTCCTCCTAATCCTATGGCATTCACTCAGAACTTAATGTGGAAGCAGGATTGCTGATTCTGCCAATGTATTTGCCATTCCTCTTCCTCTGTCACAGCCTCTTCCACACAGGTGTTCATCTGGAGAGGTGGATGATTGTTTCCTCCTTGGGGCTGCTGCTTAGGATCGAGGCAGCTCCACAGGTAAGATGATTGGATAGTTTTGATATTGCCTTATTTTGTAAAATAATAGGTATCATGACATATTTGGTTCTAACTCATTTTGTCCTATCCTCCTATGTAGAATTGAAAACTTGGGGGAATTAATGTTTTAAGTTGCTTAGATATCTGAAAGTTAGTTAAATCTTTTATTAACCCCATTGCATTTACCCTAAACATGTTATTCTTAGTAAATATATATTAAGAACATGAAGTATTATTTTGTCTCCCTTCTATCAGATATTGTGTTTGTCAAGTTTCATTTTATGTTCTTTTAAAAATATTGGTAAAGAACCAGGTGTGGTGGTGCATGCCTATAATTCCAGCAGCTCAGAAGGCTGAGGCAGGAGGATCATAAGTTTGAGACCAACGTGGCAAGCAAGGCCCTAAGCAACTTAGCAAGACTGTCTCTCAAAATTAAAAGTAAAAAGGGTTAGGGATGTGCTTGAATGGTTAAACACCCCTGGATTCAATTCTTAGTAAATATATATATATATATATATATATATATATATATATATATATGTAGAGAAGAAGGATATTAAGATTTGCATTTCACTTTGAAACATTAATTTACACAATATAAAATAAAGACCAATTATTTTATACTACCATGTACTTATCTCAACCTTATAGTTTTCAAATTATCTTTACTGTGAAAACACCAGTGTTGTATGACACTGGTGTATTGCATAAAATACCACATATATATAGCAAGTCTGTAAATTAATTAGTGTATGGGGAAAGTATAGTTATTCTGCTTTTAAGTTATAATTTTAAGATGTTCAGTGAATTAATGAAAACAAAGGTACTTATAATCTCCTTTTTATTATGTACATTTCTTTATTTTTTCTTTAGTAGGTTTGCATTGTACAGAAGCACTAGTATAATTTTACCACAGTTTTGATTTTACCACAAATCAGTGGAACAAATAGTAATGAACCCAATTGTGTATACGCTAAATATAAGATAAATGATAACACTTCAAATCTGAGAGAATATGGGAAAAACTGGACAATCATTTGGGAAAAAATTGAAATTACTAAACCATATTAAATTCCAGAAACATAAAAAGCTTAAATGTGTATTTTAATATCTATAAATGCTTGGAGGATGAAAAACTTTCAAAGCAAGACAATCAAGCTACAAATAAATTTTACATAAAGTATAAAATGGATAGGTCTTATATTCAATTTTGTAAGAGTTGATATAGAAAGTTAAAAGGCATAAATGAAAACAAACAACCCTAATGAAAATATGTCAAAGAGGACATATAGTCCTGTGTAACTATGTGATTAGTCCTAGTAACAGATAAGACAAGGGGGAAAAAAAGGAATTTTTGTAAAATACTATGAAATTAATAGAAAGTCAGTATTGGATTACCCTAAAGGAAAAAAAAATTTAATAAGAGCATTTAATAGTTCATCTTGCCTAGTAATGAAAATTTTTAAAGTAAATCAAACCAAACTCAATTAAATCAAAATAAAACAACCCTAAAATATCTATTGATTAGTTTCTCAGAGATATAAAAGGTTGATGATGATATGCAGCATTTAAAATGATTTAGAGAAATACTCTCCTATTCTTTTGCCTTGTTTATAAATTTTTTCAGTTTTTCAGAAGAGAAGTTTGTGATTGTATGTCAAATTTTAAAATGTTAAAGATCTTCTGATTCAGCAGTCCCTCTTATCTAGCAGTTCTGTTAGTAATTTAACTTAAAAAGTGAATAGGACAGTTTACTTATGATAATGACACTTAGAAATACTTTCTTTATCCACTGAAATGAAATTGGAAAAATAAATTTATCGTATCATATAACTCATATGGTTAATGGTTATACATCATAATGGTTATATCACCTAAGTTATTTAACTTATACAATGATTTCTATGATATAACCATTCTAAATATTAATGTAATTGATGAAAATAATAGCAGCTAACACATAGCATTTATAATATGAGGCACTATTCTAAGCACTTCATTGACATCGAAAGATATGTATACTGTTTTTTAAATTAATTTTTATTGGTGCATTATAACTACACATAACAATGTATTCATTATGACATATTTGTATATGCTCACAATTTGGTTAATTTCATTCCCCGATATCTTCCCTTTCCCTTTCATCCTCCCTTCCTCCTCCTTCTAATCCTCTTTCTCTTCTCTATTAGTTTCTTTTCTATAGAAATATTCTTAAATAAAAGAATTTTTTGCTGTTGGTTATTAAACAACAAATAAATATGTATATATAGAGAGATAATCACACATTTATATGTTTGTGGAGGGTGTATGTCTGTATGTGTGGGAATAGTCAGAGGAAAATGCCTCTTAATGATTATACACTAAATAGTGCTATCTGCAGATTGTGAAATCACTGATATAAGTTAAATAACTTATGTGATGTAAACATTTATTTTCTTTCATTATACCTTTTTTATTTAGCATTTATTTAGTATTTAGCAGTTATCATGTTTTTAATGATATACTTAACAAATAATTATAATGAAAGTATCAAAAAACTGTTGAAATTATAAAATACTCTTAATCAATTTGATCTTTAAAATTGTTTTAAGATAGAATAGAACCATTATAATAAAGGTAATATATTTCATTTTTGTTAGAATGAAAAAAAACTTGAAAAAGAGAAAAAGAAGCAAACGATGGAGAAAGAGAGTGATGGTTGTCTCCTGAAACATAAAATGGAGCATGAGCAAGTACAGACAGAAAACCAGACTGGTGACAGTAGCCAAAAACACAGTGAACTTGAAATAGTAGAAAATTATAAGGAGGCATTAACACAGCAGTTGGAGAATGAAGATGAGGCAGATCATCCATCATCAGAATCAGGTATATTTAGTTATGTAAAGTAATTTTCATACATTTAAATATAGCTTATTTAGGGCTGGAGTTGTGGCTCAAGTGGTAGCGCAATCGCCTGGCATGCGTGCGGCCCGGGTTCGATCCTCAGCACCACATACCAACAAAAGATGTCGTGTCTGCCGAGAACTAAAAAATAAATATTAAAAATTCTCTCTCTCTCNAACTAAAAAATAAATATTAAAAATTCTCTCTCTCTCTCTCTCTCTCTCTCTCTCTCACTCTCTCTCTCCTCTCTCACTCTCTCTTTAAAAAAAAATTCTCTCTCACTCTCTCTTTAAATAAATTAAATAAATAAATAAAGCTTATTTATACTTTACTTCCTGTATCATTTATTTTCACAAAAAAAAATGTAGTTTACTTTTTGTCTCCAAATGCAGTAGTATGATACTTTCCAGGTTTTTAGTTAATTATTAACCACTTTTTTCTTCTCCTAACATGTTGTTTTTATGCTGACTTTAAAATGTAATTTTAAAGTTTAAAGCGTAAAATGAATTCAGCAGAAAATTCAGTTTTCAATTTTACTTTCATAAGTTTACGATACAGTATAGTTGCCAGGAATCCATAGAATTTATTTAACTTTTTTGAAGCTTTTTTGTTTTGTTTCTTAAGCCTTGTAATGATTCAATCAACATAACTTCCTTTATAGTCTGGCTATTTCTATAGGGTACAAACATAATTGGTAGAACGTTTTTAAAAACTCTTGTCAGGGGCTATGGGTACAGGTCAGCAGTAGAGCTCATACTTAGTATGAGTAAGGCCCTGAGCTCAATCCCTAGTACAAAAGAAAAAAAGATTTGTCACTATTTTAATGTTATTCAAAATCTTTAACTTATAGTTACTTTGCTTTTTCTAATTGGTTATGTGATTGAACAGAAAGTTCATGTCTCTCATTGTCATAGAGAAAGAGCCTGTATTTGGAATCAAGCAACCTGAGAGGGAACCCTGACTTTCCCATCTATTAGTATATGTTAGGTTATGTAATATTCTCCAGACTTAATTTCTTCTTTTCTAATGTGGGGATGAGTATCATTTTTATTGACAAAGCTTTTATAGTTACTTATAAAATACCTATAATGTTCTTTTACAATGTCTGCCAATGGGGAGATACCCAATAGTTACTACTGTTCCCTTGCTATTCCTAGTTACAGGTCTGGTTTTATTATATGTAAGAATTTTTGTTTTCACTTTTTTCTTTTTGTTTTTTATTTATATATGACAGAGGAATGCATTCCAAATCCTATACATCTAGAGAATAATTTTTCATATCTCTGGTTGAATAAAAGTATATTCCGACCAATTCATGTCTTCATACAAGTACTTTGGATAATAATGATCCTCACATTCCACCATCATTTCTAACCCCATGCCCCCTCCCTTTCCTTCAATCCCTCTGCCCTATCTAGAGTTTGTCTATTCCTCCCATCTCCCTCTCCCTTTCCACTATGAATCAGCCTCCTTATATCAAAGAAAACATTCAGCATTTGGTTTTTTGGGATTGTCTAACTTCATTTAGGATTATCTTCTCTAACTCCATCCATKTACCTCCAAATGCCATGATTTTATTCTCTTTCATTGCTGAGTAATATTCCATTGTGTATATATGCCACATTTTTTAATCCATTTATCTATTATTGAAGGGCATCTAGGTTGGTTCCACAGTTTAGCTATTGTGAATTGTGTTGCTATAAACATTGATGTGGCTGTATTATGCTGATTTAAGTTCTTTGGGTATAGACCGAGGAGATGGATAGCTGGGTCAAATGGTGGTTCCATTCCCAATTTTCCAAGAAATCTCCATACTGCTTTCCATATTGTCTGTACCAATTTGCAGTCCCACCAGCAGTGTATGAGTGTACCTTTTCCCCCACATCCTTGCCAATACTTATTGTTGTTTGTCTTCATAATAGCTGCCATTCTGACAAGAGTGAGATGAAATCTTAGTTTTGATTTTCGTTTCTCTAATTGCTAGTGATGATGAATATTTTTTCATCTATTTAGTTTTCAAAGAACTACAAAGTTCTGCTGAATTGAAATGTTTACCAATTCCTGTGGTTGCTGAATATCTACATGTTATTAGATCATTGGGGCCTTCTAACAGTCAAGGTTCAACCTGAGACAAACCAGCAAGAAACTTACAAACTCCTATCTCTCACCATGCACAAAACTCAACTCAAAATGGATCAAGGACTTAGGAATAAAACCAGAGACCCTGAGTCTAATAGAAGAAAAAGTAGACTCTAATCTCCATCATGTGGGATTAGCCCCCCCCAACTTCCTTAATAAGACTCTTTTAGCGCAAGAATTAAAATCAAGAATCAATAAATGAGATGTACTCAAACTAAAAAGTTTCTTCTCAGCAAAAGAAATGATCTGTGAGGTGAATAGAGAGCCTCCATCTTGGGAGCAAATCTTTACCCCTCACACATCAGATAGAGCACTAATCTCTAGGGTATATAAAGAACTCAAAAAGCTAAGCACCAAAAAAACACAAATAACCCAATCAATAAATGGGCAAGGATCTGAACAGACACTTCTTAGAAGATGATATATGTAGGAATTTTTTAAAGTATATAGGGTTTATCAAAATAAATTCTCAGTTCTTGAAGTAACTGACATGCATGTTTTCTTGATTAAAAATGTTAGATTTAAGTTGTACTTTTTGTCATCACTTGGGAGATTAGAGTAGTCATCTTCATACCCATATAACTCTATCAGCACAGTATTAAATGAAGGTAGACTTATTGCAGTGGTCTCAGTTTTTTAAAAGGATGCTAACACTGATAACACTGAAGAAAAGTGAATTAGCAAATGACTTTATAGTTTAGGAAGATCTGAGATAATAAATCATAACCATAATAATAACTCACATTTTATGCTTTCAAAGTATGACTTCAGATTATTTGAGTTAACACAGCCCTATGTTATTTATCATAATAATGCTGGGGTATGAAACTCCCACTATGTAAGTAGGAAACTAGGGAATTGGAGAGGTTGAAAAACTTCATATGTCATATTGGTGGCTGGGCTGAGACCCCAGTCCAAATCATATTTTCACATTCTGTCCTCTTCCATCACCTGAACTACTGCCCATCCTAAAGTACTGTATGTTTTTAGAGCTCTCATTCCATTTTCCCATCTGTTAAGCCTATACCTTTAATAGTAAAAAGATTACTTTATTTCTATCTGGAGTAAAATGTCACAAAGGACACTAACATTAATAAAAAGTTTCCTTTTAAATATCATGTTCTTCTTTCTGTTTTGTAACTTTATAGATTTTGACTATTTCTCATGTTCAGATAATTCCCATTTTATAAAATGTGTGTAATTTCGTAGTTAGGAATTGTTATTTGAAATATTTCAGTAACTTTGATGGTCAGAATTTTTAATTACTATGCCACTCTGGTTTTACATTGTTAAAATTTAAGCGTCAATATATCATATCCTTAAGGTGTTTTTATGTGTTTATGAGTCTGTAATTTGTTTGTTTGTTTATTGTAGAAAGAACAGAAATTTAATTCGGCCTGGTCTACTGATTTTGGTTACATATATTTATTCTTTAGGTGTTAAAGAGTAATGTATTTAGATTGGGTTCGGATTTTTTTCCTCATATTTCAAAGCATTATTTTTGGACTATTTATACCTATAGTCATTCTACTTATTCCTCTGAGAAAAGTCAATATCTTTCCTCTTTCCACAAGCCATTCTGAGTTTTATGGAATTCCTACAACTAGACAATTATATGTGTTTAATATGACATTTGGAAGAAATATAAATTGCTTTTGGAAATGAGAAGGTATTTTTATATTCTAAAAACCTCTCAGTTTTTAAAGTAGACTTTTGGATATTTTGTCATATTTGTTCTATAAGCTATTACTTTAAATATTTATTTTTATTAAATGCAAGTTCATATTTTGTTATTGATAACAATTTCTGAAGTTGAATATGAGGTTTCTATTGTAATATCAATATTCTCCTTTTATTCATTGTTTTCTATTATAGACGTTTACTTTTTCCCAAAGGGTTTAATGTTTTTTAAGTGATAGAAGTTCACTTTTCCCCAATAGTATAAATAAAATTCTATGTTTATATTCTTATAGATAACAGTAAAAAGAAAACTAAGAAACTGAGAATGAAAAGGAGTCACCGGGTAGAACCAGTTAATACCGATGACTCTGCTCCTAAGAGTCCAACACCACCTCCTCCTCCCCCTCCTGGTGAGTAAATTGATACTGATACTGAATTTAGAAATATTGCTTTAAACAATGGAGGAGAGGGGGAAGGAAGAAAGAAAGAAAAAGAAATTATATAGTTTTTCATTATTTTGTAAATTTGTGAGAAAGGACTCTACTCTCATGGTACAAAAATCTGTCAATTAATTATTAGTTTTCATAAAAGAAAAAGGTAAAAACTATCAAGAAAATCTTAATACTTCCTGGAGTGTGTTCAAGCTGTATTAAAAATATCAATTACCCAGATTGTAAGAGGAATTTAAGTTTAATGAATAGATGGCTAATGAAATCTTTAAAAAAATTGGACCTTTCTTCCTGAAAGTTACCTAGATGTATGAGTTTTCCTACTTTGAATCCAACATATACACAGGATTAATTTATATTATATTCACGTAAAGAAGCACTGGGACATAACTGCACAATAATTGTTAGCAACTTTTTAGCACTAAATACATAGTACCTCATCTACTATATGTGCTCAATAAATACCTGATGACTAACTAAATGTTTGCAGTGTCCTTGCAGCCATGCCACAAGGCTTGTTATGGTAATATTTTTCTTTAAGAATTTGTTTAAAATTCATTTTTAGTATTCAATTTGGCAAGAAAACATTTATTTTAGCCTCTGCTAGGTATTCAAATGGTAGTCTAAAGCTTATCGAAGTTGGTTAAGAGGTTTGTTTTTAATGAAAGGTGAATAAAAACTTAAAGCAGATGTGAGCAGACATTAATTACATTTTGAAATAGAAGACATTTAAAATGGGTTTATAGATATTCAGTATTGTGTCATTTAGTACATTTGAATTGACATTGAATGGTATTTATACTTCCTGTGGAAGGAGAGATCCTCTTATCAGACCCCCCAAAATTTGTTTAACAGTGTTTTTAAATGTTTCTTTTTCTTTAGTTGGCTGGGGAACCCCCAAAGTCACTAGACTTCCAAAACTTGAGCCTCTTGGTGAAACACGTCATAATGGTAATGCAAAAGGATCAGTTTTCAGATATCATCTGTTCATATTGCATTCACTTTTCTTTACTTCATAACTTCATCAAGCTTAATATTTTATTTTTGGAAACCTTTCAAACAAACTGCCATACTTTTTCATTATACTTTTTCCTTTTTTTTTTTTTTAATTCACTCTGCATCTATGTAATTTGATTTTTGTTTACCTTGGAATACAGAGGTAAAAGGAATCATACTTCTGTTTATTCATGATATACCAATAGTTATGGAAAGGAAAAATTTTTAAAACAACTTTAATGTGACACAGTACAATTAAACTCATGGTGTTTAAAAAAAAAAGCCGTACTGTTCTATAAATATACAGTAGGCTCTTTGATAATGCCATATAATTTTTTTTATTTGTTTTCTGAATAATACACCTAGCTGCTGAATATTAAAATTTTGCAGAAAGATCAACACAGTCTATAAAATCAGAAATCAAGTCAGTAAACCAAATAAAGTTCAGCTAAATGAAAAGAAAGTTATCAAAGGCTTTGTTGGAAAAATAATTTTCTTTAATGAGATTAACATTAACTAATAGTCTTTATAGCATTAGAATTCCTGGAAGCAAAAACTAGAGAAAGGACCAGTTGTAGATAGTAGAGAACCTAGGGAGAGGAAGTTGCAGATCATCAGCTAGATTTTTTTCAATAAGATATTTCTAGAATGCAAAACAATATTTATACATAATTGTAGCTCACTAAATTTGTTCAATCAGAATATCCAGTTCCCTTTCTGATAACTCTGTTTGATGATTCTTGATGACTCTCTGACCCACTATAAAACTGTATTTTATAAGGAGAGTACAGAACACAAGAAATTGTAAGTCCAGTTGTCAAAAAAAGCATTACCATAAAATTTGATATTATATCAAAATATACTAAATATTTTATTCAAAATATATGAATATAATGTGCTATTTGCTTTCTCTTTCAGAATACTATATAGGTCAATAATTAAATATTTCATAATAATAAAAATTGGAAGATTTAGTTTTACATTTTTAAAAACAAATTGTTTTAGATTATTTGAAAAGTATTGTTGTTTCAGTGGAATCACATATGTCTGTTTGATATACTAATTTTAATATCATATTTTTAGTGATTAAAACAGGTTAATTACTGCTATTTTATTATATAATTCTTTATGCACATTAGAATATGTGATCAGTTTAAATATTAATATTAGAAAAACTGTAATATCAATGTTTATACACACACACACACACACACACAATTCTCGTAAGATAGATATTTGTTCCCATACTGAATTCATTATTCAACAAAAACCTGTTTTGTATTTGACACCAGCCAACATGTTTGTAATACCAATGAATAAGAAACACATACTGCCTTTATAGAGATCTCTGTGTAGGAGAGAAGATACGTCAGCATTCTTAGTATATGACAATATGTTCTGTGGTTCAGCATTATTATGCACAGACTGCATCAGAAGTTAGGGAAAGTGGCATTAGAACTGGATCTTCAGAGCGATAAGATAAAGAAGCAGAAGAAAGAGACTGTTAAGAGATGGAGAGCCAGGATTGTGGCTCAGTAGTAGAACACTTGCCTAGCATGAGTGAGGCTCTGGGTTCAATCCCCAGTACCACATAAAAATAAACAAATAAAATAAAGGTGTTGTGTCCATCTACAATTTAAAAATAAAATAGAGATGGAGGAAAGAACATGGTTTATTTGGAAAATAGCTTGTGACTGGAGCTTAGGTTTATGCATAGAATAGGTAAAAAAGAGAAAATGTTAAATTACAGAGAACATTCAAAATGGAATTCTGGCTTAGGACTAGATGATGAAGATCTTACATGTTAAGATATCTGGACTTGCTTTAATTTTTAAGAGATAATATTCATTTTTAGCATGGGAATAGTAATTTTAGATTTGATACTTGTTTTTCTAACAATTTTTGTCACAGTGTATGGAATACAGAAACAATTTCTATTAATATGTATCAAGTACAAACTTGATTATCACTACTTGAATCTCAGGAGGTTGTTACAGTAATAAATAAGGAATGGAAATTGAAATGAAGAATAAAAGGTGTATTTGTAAAGAATACTTTAATAATTATAAGAAGTAATATTTGATGAATTGGAGGTATGGGTTGAGGGCAAGAGAATAGAGTATAATTTGACTCAAGGGGATATAAGCTTGGTGATATGGCTGAGATTAAAAATATATCAAGAGAAAGGAAAAGAGACATATAGAGATAGACAAATACAGACGTAGGCTTATCTGTCTGGAAATGTCTAAAGGCCAGTATAAAGTAAGATTATGGAGTTTAGGAGAAAAGTGATTCAGATGGGGGAGTCGGGGAGAATATGTAGGTAAGGTTTTTTTTTTTTCCCCCAGCTGTCTTTATACAATAGGAGTATTTTGCACATAACAGATGTTCTGTAATTGTTTCTGAATGAATGCAATTGAGGGAATGATGGTTTGCTATTTGTGAGAAAAAGAATGTCTAATAAGAGACTAAAAATTGATAGTGATTTTCAGGGTAAGCATTACAATTAAGAAAAACTGGAGAAAGAGATTGAAAATGGGCTGAGAAGGGTCCCTCCTGCCCCTCACTTAAATCAGAACTACTTGGAAAGAATTATAGTGAGTTAGTTAAATTTAAGGCCATTCTAATAGTTTTAGTTAGTTTTCAGTTTGTCAAATGTTTGCTTCCCAGTGGAGAAGATATTTTATATCTTCACGTGTTAAGTTTAGATACATTTCTGTGCCTTTATATCTAGAAGTATTTTGACAAAAGGTTGATGACAAGTAGACAAAAGGTGCATAATGAACTAGAGCAGATAGTTAAATAATTAATAATTGATCCCAGCAGCTTAGGAGGGTGAGGCATGAATTTAAAGCCAGCCTCGTCAAAAGCAGAGGCGCTAAGCAACTCAATGAGACCCTGTCTCTAAATAAAATACAAAATAGGGCTGATTATGTGGCTCAGTGATTGAATGCCCCTAAGTTCAATTATTAAAAAATTAATAATTGAGCATCTATGATACTGTTTTAATTATAGAAAAAAATGACAAAACTATGTATACCATRTACGTACCATTGTACTTAAGAAAATTTAATTCTCCCAAGTAAACTTTTAAGATGGGCAACAGTATCCCAGTTTTTAGCATGAGGAATATTACGTAGCTAATAACTGGCAGAACCAGGATTTGAACTTAGGAATGACCAGCCTTGAAACTCATACCTTTAACTCATAACCTAAGTTATACTGTTATATAAGATTTGCTRAAGCATGCTTTCAGTTTAATATTTTGCTTTGAAATTATGTTTTTTTGGGCTGGGGACGTGGCTCAAGCGGTAGCGCGCTTGCCTGGCATGCCTGCGGCCCTGGTTCGATCCTCAGCACTGCATACAAACAAAGATGTTGTATCTGCCGAGAACTAAAAATAAATAAATATGAAATTATGTTTTTTAAAAATTTTTTTGGTAATGGAGATTGAACCCAGGAGCACTTAAACACTGAGCCACATCCCTACCCCCCAACCCCTGCCTTTTTTTTTTTTTTTTTTTGAGACATGGTCTCACTAAGTTTTTTAGGGCCTCACTAAGTTGCTGAGACTGACCTCGAACTTGCAATCCTCCTGTCTCAGCCTCCTGAGATGCTGAGATTGTAAGTGTATGGTAACACCCCAGCTGAATTTATACTTGATTTAAAAAATTCTGTGTGTGTGTATGTGTAGTGATCTTAATCACCTATGCTTCTAAAAAAAAAAAAATAAGTTAATAGGCCAGAAAGAACTTAACTGAGAGTTATATATGCCATTAAATTTATAAGCCAATTATTATAATTAAGGAATTGAAATTTATGAAGGGCACATTTTTTGTGAAAAATATGCACCAAATCACTGAATTGTATTGAAGTATTATTATAAAAGAGTTCAATTTGATTCTCCTAAATTACATAGAAATAATAGTCTCTGGATCAGAGCATGTGTACAGATACTAATTTACCAGGCTCTTACTAGCAGGTTCTGTAGATTTGAATTTTTTATGTTTGTTCTGTTCTAATGTGACTGTGTAATTGGAAACAAAAATAATAATAAATGTAACCATTTAGTGCAGGTTTTTACTAAGTCTATGTTTTGAATTTATTCTGGGTTTGGTTTTGTTTTGCTTTTTTTTTTCCCCCTGCCTTCCCAACTATCACCTCACTTGACAAGTCAGTGTGTCTTATTTTTTAAAATGAATTCATTCAAAAATGATGAACTGTGTCAAAAACTGATGATTATAACTGTTTTGTGTCCATGGTTACCCTTCTTTATGTAGATTTCTATGGGAAGCCGCTGCCTCCGTTAACTGTACGACAGAGACCTAACGGTGATGCTCATGATGTGATCTCATAACCATGTCATATGGATTGGTACTCTTACTATCAGCAAAGTGAAATGGACCTCTTCTCAGAAGAAAAAAAAAAATCCTTTGAGCATTGATGACTGGGGCAATAAAATCATAATGATTTTAGTGAGATTAATAGCCCAAGGACCTGATCTGATAATTAACTTCTCCATATTCTTCATGCAAAATGACTAGTGGATGGGATGAACAACATTTGGAGCATGTTAACAAGATTTAGTGTTGACTCCTTGGGTTTTATATCCTCACTCATGGGCAAATTCCTGAAGGAAAACTTCTTCAGAAATAGAGCCAATGGACTCTACATACTTTATTATTTGTTTAATAGTCCGTATTTCTATATATTAAACATTTTTGTAAGATACATGGGCATGGAAGGGAAACTCCTGGGAATTTATAAACTAAATTTTTAACTTTTTGTATTTTTCTAAAATTTTTGTTTAATTACTATTATCTTGATTGTGCACTTTTCTACAGATTTTTAAAATTTGTTCGTAGAAGATAAAAGTTAAATTACTTGACAGACATGAACTATACAAACAATATATTTATATGACTTAAATTTTTGTAATAGCATTTTTCTAGCCTATAAATCCTAATTTGACTTTATTTTAAAATAATACCTACCTTTTTAAAAAGCAGATATCAGATCTTTATTCTACCAAATTATGTGATTTGAAAGCATTATTCAACAAAAGTGTTCTATTTTATTGTTTTTGTGTTTTTTTGATAATAATCTCAATAAATGAGACATAAAATACCTTTATTAACCTATTTTTTAAGTAATAAAAATGTTCTGTGAGATATTATTAAAAGTCCCAAGAAAACCCTGTTTTAAAGGTCAAGACACTTTCAGAAATCAAGGTGTGATCCCTGTTAGGACTGTTCTGTCAGAAGCCACATGAATCTTTTAGGGTATTACAGTTCTTTCATCCCTTGAAATTAGAGGCAAAAAACTGAAAGAAGTTACTGTAGTTACAGAGACTTATATTTTACAACAAATAACTTGGGTGCTAAAGCAATACAAATTAAAATGTTGGCTCAAATACTGTTGTAAAGAAATGATTCCAAAATATTTCTCAATTTAAAATTTACTTCTCTTGCACTCATAGGATTCTGTCTGTCATTTAGACAAACTGTTAGATATGTATTTTCAGTAAAGGAGTCCTAATTTTCACTTAACTGAAAGCATGCCTTTATATTAAGGTGAAAATAACACAAATAATAATTTCAATACAACCTGGATAAGACTATTGGGTTTGGTACCTGTACTGACAACAGACATATGCTGGTATCTAATAACAACATAAATAAGTATGCCTAAGTCAGTTTAATTTAACTATTTACTTTAAGAATTTTGCTTTGAAGCATCACATTTTATTCACATTTTTAACTTCATTGAACTTTTATTATGGTCACTTATTAATCAGAATGCATCAGCATGGCACAGATTCTTGGAGTTGGTACATGGATCTACCTAGCACCTGAATAAGAAAAAAGCATTCTACTTCAGATATAAAATTCATAACAATCTGAATTTGATAGGTGACTAAAATATGAGGAAAAGCATCACAGTAAGACAGCATGTAAATTTTGAAATGAATTTTATAGGAAAAAATTGCTTACATTTTTGTTCCTTTGTTATTGTAACATTTACTTTTATTCATTTTTAAAGCTAAACTCAAACTTTTGCTATATTTTTAATATCCATTTATTTGAGAGTAAAGATAGATTTTAAAAATTTTTATCCTACCAATGTTTACTGGTAGAATACAGTAATTGCTGACTCCATTTTGTAAAACTAAAAATGATTTTAAGATTAAAGTAGCGGGCTGGGAATGTGGCTCAGGCGGTAGCACGCTCGTCTGGCATGCGTGCGGCCCAGGTTCGATCCTCAGCACCACATACCAACAAAGATGTTGTGTCCGCCGAGAACTAAGAAATAAATATTAAAAATTCT